CCACAATAGAAGATAAAGTACATGAGTTTGAACTGGTGAAACAGAATTGTATGACTTTTGACTAAAACATTACTTATCTTCTATGCTTCATTTCCAGTGTTAAGGAGTTACATCTTCTTTGAGTTGTGGACAGGTCCATGTACCTACTATTCGAACAGAATCCTAACCTGTTTCCTAGCTTTAAGTATTAAGCAAAATTCTCTCAACATTTTTTTATTTTGATTTATTGAAGCTAAAATGGCCTTTCTTGAAATTAAAAAATGTATTTTATGGTATATTCATTCTACCCACAGAATTTCATGCCTAAAGTCAACTTTTGTTCACTTATATGTATATATCAGCTGAACTTACTATTGAAACTATTTAGATTAATTAAGATATTTTGTGAATCAATACAATGTGGAAAAGAAACAAAAAATGGAAAATTATTTGTTGATGATAACATGTATAATTACACCTCTTTACAATGTATTCTGGCGGAAAAATTGCATTTTGTATGCTGTGGTGATGTTCAGTGAAAGTATGTAAAATTTGAAAAAATGAAAATAGTTAAATAAAAATTAAGAAAAATCTTCCTGGAAAGACATAAACTGAGTGAGAGAGATTCAAAACAAGAATACACTCTTTTGTTGGTTTTGATGATATTGGGATCCACATTTCAAAGGAAAAGAATATCCCTCTGGTATTTGAGAGTGGCTCTTGACTGATAGCCAGAAAGGAAATAGGAACTTTAGTCCTACAACTGCAAAGAACTGAATCTTGCCACAATCACATGAGCTCTGAAGTGGATCCTGAGCTCTGATTAGAATGCAGGCTGACCCATAGATGTCTTACTTCTCTATTTTCCCCCTACTTCCACCAAATTTCCTTCTCCATATTCTTCCCCTCTCTCATTCTCCTTCCTCTTTGTCCCCAGTGTTCATAACAATTTTCAGTGCTTTTATGTCTTCCAATCTTTCAGACATTTGTAGGACACAGAAATGTATTATTACCTTTTGATGATGATGTGTATAGTATTCTCAACTGGACTGGTCTGAGGTGTACTTCATGCTTGATAAATTCTCTTTACAATCTAAATGATGTATAGTGATTGAATGCATAAATAATAATAAATAATAAAATATAAAAAATGGAATTAAAAAGAATGCAGTCTGACCAACACCTCAATTTCATCCTGGTGATTCTGACTTGAAAATCCAGCTTTGCTGTGCTAGACTTCTGACTTAAAAAAACTGTAATATGATAAAGGGTGTCTCTTGAAGATGCTAAACTTGTGGTAATGTGTTATGCAGCAATAGAAAACAAATATGTTTTCTTTACAGGAGTGTGATGTAGGATTTGGAGTCAGACAATCCTGGGTTAAAATCCTAGGTCTTTCAATTACTAGTTTAATAATTCTGAGCCCTTGGTTTAGTTTCTATGATATATGGCTTCTTCATTTATAAAGTAGAGGTGTTGCAACCTATCTTTTAGAAAATCTTTTGATAACTAAAGGAGAGTCTTTCTGGAACATAATGAGCCCCCCGAAATGATTTGTTAATTCTCAATCCATTCTTAAAGAGTAAGGAATGGGGAACCAGCAGTTAGCGTAATGGCTATGTCGCTGGACTCCCACGTAGTCGACCGCGGTTCGCGTCCCGAACCCAGTGGCTTAAAACTCACTCCGGGCACGTGTGTGTGCATGCCCAAGATCCCGAGAGGAGAATGAAGGAGAAGGGATTGCGGCGTGACCATCCCCCCTGGGGGGTGATTTCTCGCTTTCTGTCTCTATGTCTCTGTCTGTCTGGTGAGCACATGTGCCCTATCGTGAAAACCTCTCCAAAAAAAAAAAAAAGAGTAAGGAATGAATGATTCACAGGTGACCTAACTCAGGCACAGGAAAGGGAGGGATACAGAGCTGACAGGGGACAAAACACAGAGAAATTACAAGCAATAACTGATTTTCTTCAGCACATGGCTTCCTATAAAACTAAATTCATATCTTAAATATAATTCTAAATGCTAAGGAAACATAAAGGAATGGTTGGTACAGAGCTGCAAATTCTTTGTGAAACCAGACTAGGCTATACTTATATAAATGCATGTGAGTATCTGTGTGTGCAGTACTTATATATTATGTTATTCGATCTAAGGGGCATGAACTCAAAAATATTCACTCATTTTTTATTTTATTTTATGTTATTTTTTTGCCATAGGGTGTGTGTGCACTTGCCAGAAAGATAGAGAGAGAGAGAGAGAGATCAAAAGCAAGAAATCACCCCTCTGGGGGATGGTCACACCACAATCCCTTCTCCTCCATTCTTCTCTTGGGGTCTTGGGCATGTACGCACATGCGCCCAGCGTGAGTTTAAGCCAAGCCGTCCAGGACTCGAACTGTGGTCGACTACAAGGGAGTCCAGTGACATATCCATTACACCAACGGCTGGTCCCTTCATTCATTTACTTGTGAAATAAATGAGTAAAAACAAAACAAAACAAAAAGCCTGGTAAACATTAAAAGGAAGGGCTGGGGACAGTGACAGTGATTGACACCTTCTCTATGGGCAGTCTGTGTCAATTTTTTAAACAAATACTGTGCTTAACAAACAGAATTTTGTAGGTGAATTTTGGACTGAGGAAAGTCAGTTTGTGGCCTCTCAAAGACAGTCATCTTTCTATCTACCAGGATTACAGTCAGGGAGTTTTACTATATGACTTTGGGTTAGAAGGTATGAGAAATATTGGATTAGGAGCCTGGGTTGCTCACTGTGTGATCTGGGAATATGCCCTTCCCTTTCTGGCTTAGTTTCCTCATACATATATAAAAGGTAGTAGTTAAGAGCAAAGATCTTAGAGTCAGAGAATGCCTCATTTGTAATCCTGGTTCTATCACTAACTAGAGAGAGAGAGAGAGAGAGAGAAGGAAAGTGAGAAGTCAAGTTGCCAGGTCAGGACTCGAACTGCAGTCGGCCATGTGGGAGTCCAGCTTCCCCAACCACCATGCCACCTACTGGCCCCAAGGGCTTATTATTATTGATTGTGGTGTTCACAATCTTATGAGTTGTGTGACCTTCAACAAATCCATGGCTTTAACCTACACTTCAGTTTCCTTATCTATGTAATGGTGATAATCTAAACTGAAAATAATATAGGATTATTTTTAGTAGGAAATTAGATGAGTCTAGTAAAAGTGCTCTGAATCCTGCAAAAGTGTATGCCAATGAGCAGTCTATAATTTTTCCAAGAATGAATCTCTAGCTAGAAAGAATACTGAAAAACTGCCTATGGTGGCAAACTATGAGAAGTATGGCCTTCCATCTTGGGTAACCAGTCTGAAGCCAAAGGTTGTGCCCAAGCTGACAGGTTTCATAATCCTAAAATAATAACAAGATCTGCCTCACAGGGTGGTTATGATTTCCCAAATGCAAATGTGTATAAAGAGCTTAGCACAGAATAAATTCTATCAATGATGGTCTATCAATGATGGCTCTTGCTAATAATAGTTACTGAGCCTCAACTTGCTTCATTTCATGCCATTTATCCCAAGAAGGTGAACTTTCTGATGCAGCTTAATAATGAAACACAGATTCCACAAAGACTGAAATCTAGTATGAGAGACAATCAGAGTTAGAAGGATCCCAGAACACAACTCTGGTGTAGTAGTAGAACCTCAAGGGTCCTTTAAGTTTCTTCAAGCGACCCTGAGGAGACAGAGTAGGAATGGGCCTGTGGCTCACAGCACTCCATCTCTTTTCAAACTGCAGCAGCAGTGCTCTATTCTGTACCTACGCTTGGGACTTGGTCAGACTTTATTTGAAGAAAAAGTTCCATTTCCTAAAAAGAGTTAGAAAAACCTGAATCTTGTCTATGTCTTCCTCTTCCCTCCAAAATCCTGATTTTAAAGATGATCAAATTAAGGCCAAAGATCAGACTTGTTTAAGATAAAACAGCTAGATAGTGGTACAGTAGGAGCTGGAATCAGGTATCCTGACTTCTAGGGTGGTACTCTTTGTATTTTATCAGTTTGGCTAGCATATTATTGGAAAGAAGAGTCAGGGGTAGGAGTTGGAGATGGGTAGGGTTAGAACTAACACAGGGACAAGAGGTAGGGGGAAGAGTCAGTCCTTGGCAGGTATGGAATAAGAAGTTAGCCTGGGGTGCAATGAAGTGGGATTAATTAGTGTATTACAAATTCCCTCAGGCAAGAAGTCTCCTTGGTCCTTCTCTCACACTCACATTCTCTTCCCAGTCCCAATTCTGGGTCAGAAGAATAGCCAGGAGAAAGAATATCAAATTTTATCTTTCAAGGTTTACGTTGGATTATTTAGTCTAATGGTTTTTAGTTAGTGGAGGAGTAAATGTAATTAATAATAGAATGAAATGCAATACTGCACATCCTTGCCAAAGCACAGAATCTGGCAAAAACTATTCCATATCTCCTCTCTCTGACTACTGAGCCAAATGAAAGAAGATGCCATCCTGAGTGAGGGGTGCAAGGTCATTATCAAGAACCTGCTTATGTCAAATTATAGAGCTTGGATATAATGCTTTTTCATGCCAGAATTTTCCACTGGAAAAAGTAACTACACAAATTTAGTACATACATGCTTTTACAATTACATTTAAACTGACATTAAAAACAAATGTGAAACAGTCCAAGCTGAACAGGTCAGCATGACCTGGAAAGCAAACAAGAGAGAAAAAAAAAAAAAAGAAAAGGGAGAAAGAAAAGAAGGCCTGATGTTAATAGCATTAATTCTATCAGCCTGTTGTAAATAAAAAATACCATTGGTGTAATAATGGCTTTATTAAAAAAATTTCACTAGCAGAAATACACAACATTCAAACAAATTAAAGTTAATTAAAAAATAAACCATATGAGCCTTTCAATTCACATTAGAAAACCTCTTTTTTGGCCTGATGATTAAAATTCTGCCCTGAGGAGGGGGGAAACTCCCTTACTTAAGTCCTTCATTGGCTTTTATAACAGAATGCTGCTGAATCTGGAGAAAGAGAAAGATGTGTGTGTGTGTGAGTGTGTGTGTGTGTGTGTGTGTGTGTAAACTGGAGAAGGAAGAGGGTGGGGAAGGCAGGTTCCACACAGTGCAGGGCAGGGAGAGTGCTTTTGATTATATTTGTCTGCCCCTGGCTCACTGACTCCACTTCCACCAGAAGAAAACTGGTTTTAATATGGAGGATCTAGATCAGAGACAAGGCAAGATATTACAAACTCTAAGTGACTTTTCTTCAATGCAGTGCAAAGATTGGCTTGGTAGAAGAGAAGCCTTACACCTGATTGAAAGTCAAGCACTTGAGGTAATGGGGAGACACTAAGGCTAGAAATAAAAGAGAAAACCTAATTTGCATTCCTCCTAACTTCATCATCTTAACTTCACTACAAAATAAAAGAAGTAGGCACTGGTTCTCAGATTTTGCCACCTTCCTCCTTATGAAAGGTTCAAGTATGTTAGTTTCTGCAAACAGAGTCACATTGACATTGGGAATAAGGAGAGGAGAAGTGTTTGATTTTAGTCTTCTGGTGTATTTGAAAAGAAGAGCTGGCAGGATTCTCCTCTGGGAGAAGCAGAAATCTGATCCTTTTTTACTGAAATTTTGTGTATAAGCTACTACCTTCAGCTCAGTGATGGGGCCTGAAACAAAGGTCTAGATCCTTGGCAGGAGCCTGAAAACATGAAAGTTAAGAGAAATCTCTACAAATTCCTAATAAACAAGTGAAAACAGCCAGAAATGCCTCATTGAGGCAGAGTGGCTTCTTGTCCAAAGGGTATAGTATCTTGAGTCCCACCAGCAAAGTTTATTTCCTGTAGCGCACTATTAAATGCAAGTGACCAAGTCAGAGCTTCATGGCATGCTTCTGCCTGAGTCAGTCAGTGCCTGGCTGCCATCATATACAATCAAGAACAATCACAAATCACTTTTCCAATGCCAAGTCACATTACAAAAGACAACAATCATGACATAACTACATGATTGGTAACTACTACTACTTATTCAAGCTAGTCCTCACAACATCCCAATGAGGTAACACTATTGGTCTTAGTGTGGGAAATCACCAACCAAGAGATTGACCCCCAGCCCCAACATCAGAGTCTGTGCTGGGGAGAAAAAGCTTAAGCTCCTAAACTTCAGACTTGAGTCTTTTCCAAGCTTCCTCTAGAGCCCTCTTAAGCCCTCATTTTTTTTTTTTTGGAAAAGTTTTGGCTATAGGGCGTGTGCGCTCGCCAGACAGAGAGAGACAGAGAGACAGAAAGCAAGAAATCACTCCCCAGGGGGGATGGCCACGCCGCAATCCCTTCTCCTCCATTCTCCTCTCGGGATCTTGGGCATGCACGCACACGCACCCGGCGTGAGTTTAAGCCACCTGGTCCAGGATGCGAACCACAGTCGACTATGTGGGAGCCCAGCGACATAGCCATTATGCTAACTGCTGGTTCCCTTAAGCCCTCATTTTGAAGGTGGGTCAGCCTTTCTACAGTGTCTGGTTATTTTGAGATACTTGATATTGTCAACCTGTGACTTTTCTAGTTTTTTTTTTTTTTTTTTTTTTGCTATAGAGCATGTGCACTCGCCAGACAGAGAGACAGAAAGCGAAAAATCACCCCCTAGGGGGGATGGCCACGCCGCAATCCCTTCTCCTCCATTCTCCTCTCAGGATCTTGGCCACGCATGCACATGTGCCCGGCGTGAGTTTTAAGCCACCAGGTCCAGGACACGAACCGCAGTTGACTACATGGGAGTCCAGCGACATAGCCATTACGCTAACTGCTGGTCCCAACCTGGGACTTTTCTAATATGAAAGAGATACACTGTTGAATACAGTAGCTTAAATATGTATAGCCTTGCTCCTAGTGTGCTCCATAAAAAGATTTGTGAGTCAGGTCCTCTGAGATAAAAGGCAGCAAGCAAAGTTGGAGAGATGAGTGGTTGTCATTTTAGACTGGGAGTTTCCTTTTCTCTTTTCTTATGTACTTGTAAAACAGAGGTGAGATGGGGAAATGGAAAATTGTTCGCTTGGAGTTTTCTTTTTTTGTTTTATTGACAAATATGGGTTCATGTATGTATGTGTGTATGCGTGTATGCACCTCTCTGCACACAGTGGCCAAAACTGTATGTGAAGAGTTTGGGGGGAGGACAGAGAGAGTAGGAGGTGGAATTTAACAGTTTCATTCAGAGACCAACAAAGGCTCCTATTGAGAGCATCTGAATTCCTCACAGCAGCCAAATAATCCCATAATACTATAAGTATTATTACTCAGCCTGGAGATGAGAATGCTTTGAAATTAATGGCTGTGTGCCTAATAGCTCCCTAATCAAAGCTTCCAGACCTCATTTTCCTTGCTAAGTACAGTCCTTGGTCTCTTGGTTTCACTGCAGCCAGCATGACACCTCACAGCACAGGCTAGAGCTGGTGACCTTATGTCTTGGTCAAGATCTACACTTTCTTCTTAGTTACAAATGCAAGCACAAATTTTCTTCAGGTTCTCAGTGCTTACGTGTTTTTAAATGCTGAGTACTAGAAGGCTGAAATGTCTCTCAATGATCAATTTTTGCTTCAGCCACAGAACCATAGGTCCAATGTGGTATTAAGCAGGGAAAAAGAAGATATTTTTAAGCCTAGGTAAAGTGATATAACAAGTATAGCAAACAATAACTGAACTAAAGAGAATGGAACCTGATTGAAAAACAGGGATCCAAAGTAATGATTCCATTTCCAGCTTAATTTCTAGATATCTGTTGTTATGAAAACATTATCAATAATAATATGAAGGCTCTACTGATTTCTATGTAGCTATATATTTCCCCCCTTACTCCTCCTTCCTATAAATATGATATCAAAAGATGTACAATATTCTCTTTAAAGAGCATATTTTTCAAGTAAATTGTCTATGTATGAGTTTTATACAATAAAAAAATTAAAACGTTTATGATCTTAAGAAATATATCCTACAATTTGTTAACACAGGTGGCATTCTTCTTCAAATATTTTCAAATATCCAATTATGTTATAAGAAAAAATGAAACTTTTTCTCCAAATTGTTATATTTGGAAAATACTTATTTTTGTATATATGGCCTATTTTGTGCTGCTTACACTTAGTTTTACGTATTCTACCTTTGAAAAAAATTCTTATGACATCGTTTTATTTTCTCAAGAACAACTGAGGAATCCTAGAGCACTCACAGCAAAAGAAAATAACAATAAAATCTTTCTATTTCTTTAAAAATTCGAGGATTTTAAGTAGAGATTTTATTAAGTGGGATACTTATTTAACTACTAATTATGGGTTATAATCAATTTTGAGGATTAGAAAAATGACCTTTAACCACAGATCTCTAAAAGAAAAATGCTCAGAGACAGAGAATAACATATATGCACTTTCCCAGAAAATTTGGTTGAGAGGAATTACAAGATAGACCTGGGGATGGTGATATAAGTAATGGCGAACAGATTTCAAAGGTTGATTTGAGGGTGGTTAAGGATCAAAGAATAAGAACCAAAACCCACAGTGTTGGTGCAGAGAGAGATCATGCCCCAGTGATGCCTGGGAATACAAAGACCATTAAAAATAAATAAGGGGGGGTTACAGTGATGTTTTATGCGTGCCTACTATGTACTAGTTTGTTTATAAGCTTACAACAATTTGGCAAGTAAAATTTAAAAATTCCCACAGTGTAACTGGGAAAACTGAGGCTCAGAGGGATCTAATGATGCCCAAGGTGATCTAGATAGTAAGTGGCAGAGCCAGGACTAGAAACTCTCTGTATTTGGGCTTACCATGCTATTTCCAATATACCACAGGACCTATTGAAACAAAAACCCAGAGGTTCTAAATGATAAGTCATACTTTGTGTATGTTGATACCAAAATTTATTGGATATTTTTACTTCTCTGTGTATGCCTCAGTTATAAAGATCGGTCGGAGCATTCAGGTATCTGCAAATTGTGTGTGGGAAGCGGCACTTCTCAGAAATGAGACCTACCACATACTTCTCTAGCCTGAAGACTCTTAGGGCTTTATTTAGAGAGTCAAGGAGAAATGAGAAAATACCAGTAACTGAATTCCAAATCAGAAATTCTTTATGATACTCTGCTGCCTGCCAAGCAAGAGATAGTGGGGATTCGATCTCAATGGTTTTCTAGAAATCTGTGATTTCTAGGTCTTCTACTTCAGCATTGAGGCTATACGGTAGCACTATGATGAGATTCTGGATAGATGTCACAATGTTGGACAATGTACAAATGGACTGTTAAATTCTAGACTAGAATGTCTATATCTGAAATATTTAGTGGTCTATCTGTAAAATAATGGTAGTCATTATATTTGTTAGAAATAACTTGTCTAGTATGCTTATTAGGTCTGGAAAATATACCTTTGGCCATTAGATGACTTGGGAAATTACTGTGCTTTGGCCTGGGATGCCTTTGCATCCTATTCTTTGTCTATGACAGCAATGCTGCAGACCCAACAAGATTTACCTTACAGGCTTTAGGAGCCACTGGTGCATACTCTTAAGATGTGTTAAGGATGGTCTGCTCTTGATCATTATCACATTCTTGGCTGATTCTTCTGGCAAGCAAAGACACACATATCTGTATAATGGATGACTTGGGCTAGGAATATTACCTGCCTACAGGATAGAGTTTTATCTATTCAAAGGTTTTTAAAAGGGTATTCCAGAGAACAGTGGGTTTGTAAGATCTTAACTGATATTATATGAATAAAAGATACTGTGACCAAATCAAGTTTGAGAATCCTGAGTTATACAGCACCTCAGGTTACTTTATTATAGTACTTACTAAGACCCATCACTGACATGTAAATCTTTGCAAATATTACGGAGTAGGACCATAATACGGTCATGGTCATACCAGGAAACACTGGCATAGACCAAGGCAATTGGCATTTGATATAAGGTTAGGCCCTTTACACAAGCAAATTGCATTGGTCTAGGCCAGGGCTTCCTCACATGCATGGTCAGTATGTGCAGGTATCAGATCAAACAGAAGCAATTAGCATGAGGAACCAGTCATAGGTGTTGAGAAAACCTTGATACGAAAAATTTCTTTCTGTGTGGCCTACTTTTCTCTTTCTAATATTTAAACCCTCACCCATACAACATTCATGCTGCCACCTATCCAAATAAACAAAATAATATGTGATCAAATATGTCCCATGGGCATAGATTTTCAAGTGTCTGAAGTCCAAACTCTTCTTTTTTAATTTGCAGCAGGTACCTCTGATCACCAGACAGAGACAGAAAGACAGAGAGGGAGAGGGAGAAAGCACTCCTCATGAGGTGTGGTCATGCTGCAATCCTGTCTTGTCATTTTTTCATCTTTTCAGGATTTGGGACATGCACACGCATGTGCTCAGCATGGTTTTTAAGGCACTGGATCTGGGACTCAAATTATATGGCCAGACATATGGATTCAGCTCTCTTAACCACCAGGTCATGGGTTGACCTACTACATTCATTTTCAATGTGATTTCAATTTGCCTTCCCCATTTCCGTCACTCTAGACATTTTAAACTCCTTGCTGCTCCTCAAAACCCTCAATCTATATTGTTCATGTCTCTGTGCCTTTATTCAAACTTTACCCTTTGGCTTGGAGGCCCTTTCCATCTCGTTAATTTCTTTACAGTGATTTCTTATTTACCCCTTAGAGCTAAATTGTGTTCACTATCTCCCCTTTCCTTTTTTAAAGTTTGTCATAGGTACATGCTTTCATGTGTGAGAGAGCGAAAGAGAGAGAAAGTGAGAAGTCACCCTCCAAGCAGGGTGGTCATGCTGCAATCTCTTCTCTACCATTTTCCTCTTAGGATTTTGGATATGCATGCACATGCATGCAGTTTGTTTTTTAAGCTTCTGGGTCCAAGACTTGAACTACGCAATTGACCATGTGGGATCCAGGTACCTTAACCACCATGCCACTGGCTGGCCTTTTTTCTTTCTTTTTTTTAAAAAAAATTTCTTAGGTCAGGGATCATATCTTATTCAACTCAGCTTCCTCAAAATATCTTGCATAGTATCTGGTACACAGTTGGTACTCAATAAATAGTACTAAATGGATACATGAGTAAATGGGTAGAAAGATGAAAGCACTAGCTTCTTGGCTGTCCAGATGGGTGGATAGATAGATAAACAGATGAAGAAATACTATGAAGAACAATGCCATGAATAGTGTGTCAGCGTCAGAATCACTCTCTTGAACTCAGAACATGTAGTATGAAGGTAGCATGACTGGGCTGCTCTTGAGCATGGATAATAATGAAACAGGTAGTATCAGGACTGTCTGCAACACTGGAAACTGCAAGGATATTCCTAATGTCCATGACAACATCAGATCGTGGTCAAGAGTTGTATGAGTTATCCTTCAAACTAGAGAATTCATAGATGTTTTTAAAACCTGAAGATCTGTTCAGTTTTGATTTTTATATGCTGACATCAATCTCCTAGTAGGAAAAAGACTTCTCAAATGTGGTAGAGTAACTTTTGAAGGAAATGCCATACACTTCAGGATCTCACATACTCTAAGGCTCCATGTTCCTTCTCCTACAATCTTTCCTAGTGCAGGAAAAGAGAGAGTAAATGGGAACTTATTCCGTTTACTAAAAGCTGATAACTCCAGAGTTGTGCAACATAAAAGGAAATAATGATTGGGAGAAATAGGAAGGAACATGTGAAGGAAGGAAAGGTCATATGAGAAGATGGCAGGAAGGGAAATCCTTTCTTTCTCATTGTATCTTGGAAACTGGTAGTATATCTTTGGGATGTGCCAAAAGATGGCTATGCATTTGTTCTGATTACAGGGTGTGACAACAGACACAGCTAATTCACTGGAGGAAAGGTCTTTATGTATACAGAATTTTTGTCAATGAGAAATAGTCAAAGGATTTAATTTCTTGAAGCAATTAGCAATATGTGGTTTTCAAATGCAGCCAGAAATGAATCATGTACAAAGAAAGATCCATGATTACTATGGATGGGCAGTTGAGAACCTGGAGGTAGTTTTTAAAGGAACCATCCTCAGAATCCAACCACCTCCAGGGTCTTTTCAGAAATATTAAGAGTTGCTAAGAAAAGAAGCAAGAAAAAGATAGGTAGGTAGACCTGGAAGCAGAAAGGGAAAAGCTATATAAAAATATATACATATAGCTATGTATCTCTGAGATCAGGTGATCTCATCACCGAACAGTGAATAGAACACTACAGGGAAAAACAACAACAACAACAACAAAAAACCAGATCAGAGTTCTTGAGGCCTCAAGACAAAGTAGCCATCAGCTTTTCTAATACAGAGGCAGCCCTTCTACTGTCTATTTCCTCAATAATCTATCCTATCTTATCTACTTTTAGATGTACAATATATCTTATGTAGGTGTGATGGAGGTAGATAAGATTACTATGCAAGTCATAGCATCCATGTATTGAGTATCTATACTTCTGGGAGCAAGAAATAGACAATCCAAGAAAGAACTCATAAACTTATAATTCTCTGTGTGGCTTTAGTCATACAATCACAAAATTTTATCACTAGAAAAGTCGTTTGTGAAGCCCACTATTTCAGTTTTAAGATGGCAAAATCAAGCTTTGGAGGGGAGAGGGGACTTTCCCAAGACCATATTCCTAAGTGCCATTTTAAAGTATATAATTTTGATTTGAGTGATGAGAAGAAAAACAAAATTATATGAATTCTCCTTTAAGGTCATTAAATTGTCTATATTAAATCCAAACCTTATGAAAATGTAAACCTATTGCCAAAGTATTAACAAGGGCCACTCTGTACTGATGATTCCTTTCTTTTTCTCCTTGTTTGATTAAAGATGTGATGTATTCTGAATTTTCAAGTTAACAATAAACTCAGAAGGGGGCTGCAGCAGAAAAGCAGGGAATGTGAAGATAGGTTCAGCAAAATGGTGATGCTCATTCCAAACCTTATGAAAATGTAAACCTATTGCCAAAGTATTAACAAGGGCCACTCTGTACTGATGATTCCTTTCTTTTTCTCCTTGTTTGATTAAAGATGTGATGTATTCTGAATTTTCAAGTTAACAATAAACTCAGAAGGGGGCTGCAGCAGAAAAGCAGGGAATGTGAAGATAGGTTCAGCAAAATGGTGATGCTCATTTTTAGGTAGTAGTTTAAGAGGGTTAACACCTGTGTTTTTACTGACATGGTACTTAAAACTAACATAAGGTTAATTTCATTACTAAACTAAGATTCCAGATGAGATCTTGGTGGTACATTTTGGTTTGAAGTGAACCAGAGTGATTTCTGATGGTCCTCTGCTTGGTGGAACTGTTACTTATTATAGGGCAGGCCAAGTAACCCAGGGTCAAAGTCACTAGAAAGTGTTGCAAACAGCCTTAACAGTTAAATTACTACTGACCTCACTGTCATAATAATCCTCAAATTGTTAGGACTGTTCATATTCATGTCATCTGATCGCCATTATAACTCTAGGAAGGCAATATCACTAAATGACAGATGAAGAAATTGAGGCTCAGAGGAGACACACAACAAGTAATAGAGCTGGGCTATCTGACTCCAGGACAAAGCCATTTAAATTGCATCCAGAAATCCTTATATCTTGTGGGCATTTCTTGAAATTTGCTAGTCTGAAGTTCCAATGCCTAGCATGCTATCTTGTACATAGTACACTCTCAGTAAATATAGTAAGGTTAGAAGTGAAACAAAAGTGAGCTACAGCAGTTTTTTACTTGTCTTCATTGTGTCAACTAAGCCCACTCTGATTTGAGCACTCTGCCCAATAAATCAATTTGAAAGTTACTTTTTCACTCTCTCTAACAAATTAATTTATAAAGTTATTGGTGGCTGTTGTATGGTATAATAGAATTAACAGTTATATACAGGCTTTTTTTTCTAAAAGGGGTCACTGTAATCAGATCACAGACCACTTTATAATGGAGGATGTTGGCTGAGATATAAAACTAATTTTAAGACTTGAATTCAAATGTTGTAAGAACTTTTGTTACCATTAAACTTTATCCATATTAAAGTGGGATTACGATTCATGTCAGCATATGGCAAGCCAAGGAGTTCTCTATCTGGGAATCCCTACCTCTTACATATAATTCACAGAAGGCTAAATAATCTAGTGTTGAGTGTATCAGAACTCTCACCATGGGGTTGCAACATTCATATGGAGAAAAATTTCTGTTGTCAATCTTTTTGTCACCTTTCCCAGCTTTCCCTCTGTACTCTTCTATTCTGGTTTTGCTTCTTCTTCCCCACTGTAGACCACACTTAAAGAATTTCTTTTGAGTATACCAAACAAACAATAACAAGGTTGGTTTTTCTCAGATAATTTGAGTCTCATTTGATGTGGCTGCCTGGAAAGCTATTCATAGAGCATCTGCCTGTGATGTCTGGGCATATTAGCTACTATTTGAAATGCTTCTTTTGAAACTATCTCAGATCCTGGGTCAATTCATTTGAGGTACTTTGATGTGTTTAAAGAATACTACTAGCCTACTACATAAGGGGAGTATATAGTATCTACATGAAGAGCCACACATAGCCTGCTCCAGGGTCAGAAAATAGGCTGGTATCTATATGGACATATAGGCACAAAAGGTACTGAGAAACTCACAGATGCCAGAGATGGACAATTGCTCTAAATTAGCCTTAAGAAGGGAAGGGAGAGGGCTAGATTCTAGGCATTTGAATTTTCTAGGCTGATAATGAATAATCAGGTACAAGACTACTGTTTTAGGCACTTAGAAATAGCCTTGCCTTTTAAAAATTTCCATTTCCAAGTCAAAATAGACAAATGAGCTTGCTTTTCTTATGTAAGATACATAGTTTTGGAAGCAGCAAACAGTAGGGAGGACCCTGTTGGCTGGCAGATGTACACATGAATAGATAAAGAATTTGAAGAGGGGAAATGTAAGCACCAGTTAGCTTCTATCAAGCCTTTCTGGAATGATGACAACACTCATGGTAGACACAGGCTCAGTGGACAGAAAGGTTTTTTCAGAGAATTATCCTTGAAAGAGCTCTCTTCCTTCTATCAAACTACTGTGCTACTGAAAAAACAAATGATTTGGTTATGATCAATAGATTTAGAAAGAAAAAGAAATGATTACAAAAGGTCTGCTCATCCCTGAGAGGTATAGCATAGGAAATTAGCTCTGATTGGTCGCCTAGTCACAGGCTCAAAAGAGAAGCAGCTTCTCTTTCCAGGTGGCAGACCCTACAACATAGGCAGCAGTTAGCTGAAAGATATTCCTGGATGTTCAGGGTCAGCCTGTGTCTGGGTCATCTTGCACCTGTGTCAGTTCTGGATTCCTTAGTTTCTCTCATCCTAACTACTATTAAACAACAGCAAGCTGGTACCATTAAGTCCACTGGGGAACTTAATGCTCAGTCATATCCACAATCACTCAGTGTCTGCCTCTATTGGTCCCTGCTTCACATTGTCGACTCATATCCCAAGCCCCAGAGTGGGGAGTAGCATGGTTAAGGATAAAGAATGACACCATTTGGGTGATGGCAATGCTGGATATGAAAGAGTCAGCCTGTGTCTAGAACATGGTTGACCCCCTTGGAGGTAAAAAGAGTAAATTTTGATTTAAAGAAAGAACTAGAGAATGCGGGAGGGAGAAGAAAGGAAAGGAGGAGAAGAAAGAGGAAAAAAAGTATCATACCTCCCAGAGTCATCCCTGCTTCATAGCACTTCCGAAGACGACAAGATGGACAATTCTTCCTTCGGAATTTATCGATGGTACAATCATTTCTGCTGGCACACAGGTACTTCTGTTTCCCTGGAAGAATAAATACAAGAATTGACAAATATATACATGTGTTCCCATAATCCCTTTCCTTGAGTATTTTTAGACAGAAAAGGTATGAAGATATATTTTACCAGATGATGAAGTGAACAGAGAAAAGCCACAAAAGAAAAATTGGTGATACAGACTCTAGTTATTAAAACAGGATGGTTTGGGACCAGCAGATGGTGCAATGGTTACGTTTCTGGATGCCCATGTAGTCAACTACAGTTCAAGTCTTGAACCTGGCAGCTTAAAACTCACACTGAGTGTGTGTGCATGCATGCCCAAGATCCCAAGAGGAGAATGGAAAAGAAAGAATTATGGTGTGGCCACCCCCCTGGGAGGAGATTTCTTGCTTTTTGTCTGTCTGTCACTTGTGAGCACAAGTGCCTTATAGAAAAAAAAAAAAAAAGAAAACTCAAAAATAAAATAAAATAAAATAAAATAAAATAAAATAAAAATAACAAGCAAGCAAGCAAAACAAAAAAACAGGGTGGTTTAGTTAGGTACTATATTGTTTGGTTTTAAGATTTTTTTTTTTTTTTTGGAGAGGTTTTCACTATAGGACAGACAGAGAGAGACATAGAGACAGAAAGCAAGAAATCACCCCCCAGTGGGGATGGTCACGCCGCAATCCCTTCTCCTCCATTCTCCTCTCGGGATCTTGGGCATGCACGCACACGCGCCCGGCGTGAGTTCTAAGCCACCGGGTCTGGGACGCGAACCGCGGTCGACTACGTGGGAGTTCAGCGACAGCCATTACGCTAACTGCTGGTTCCATATATTGTTTGGTTTTCATGGGTATGTTTTGCAGGGATGAACAATTCCGGTCCCACTGATACCTCCATTACTAAGATTACTCTCTGGTTTTTAAAAGGAGATACTTTACCTTTACTAAAAGCCAGGAGGAATGTCCTTTTGAAAATGATCAATTGTCACTCTTTTAGCAAAGGCATGACATAAACTTGGGCTCAATCAACCCTTCCTTCTTTTAGCACCTGTAATCATATTCAGGATCATATTTAAGCTAATGAGATGCTTGTTTTTCAAACTATTAGTACAGGTAAAACTTCTACAACAGAGAACTCAATGAGATTTCTAACTTTTTAAATTGCTAGTGACCAATAGGAACATAGGGAAAGTAGGCCCTTAAGCAGCCATTCTTCACTTGATGCTTCTGTACAGTCTAGGGTCAAGAGGCAATACCAATTTGGTTCATGTGTTGTACTATGCACAATGTGCATTTTTTAAAATCATCTTACATTATCACTTTGCTGCTTAGTCCTCACCCACACAGGGACTAGAGAGATGTAGGTATAAAGAATGTGAACATCTGAACATTGTGAGACTCTGGAGGTATCCTCTTCCTGCACTGAACCCACCAGTCAAAAGAGAAAAACTCTTCTTTGAGAATCTGAACCCAAGACTGCTGCTGCAGATACCACATTGCAACTCACTATAAAAGAGGAAAGTTTGTCCTGAACTAATTTACTAAAAAGGAAAGGACATGAGTGCACAGCTACAGAAAGCTACTCCAAAGAGTTAACAAGAAGTGAATACATCACCAAATGACTAAAAATTACAGTAGAGCCTCAGTTATGAGAAAATCAGGCAATACTTCCCCCACAAAGGAACATAATAACTTATCTCCAGCTATGGAAAAAAAATAAATATCAGGAAAAAAAAATCAGAGTATTTACCATAACTAAACTTAAAGAGAAGCAAGAGAAAAAAGACAACCAACTCCTAAAGGAAAGAAAATCATTCCATGAACTGTAGGAAGAACTCCATAAAGAAAGATATCATAAAACTGAATCAAACAGAACTTTTAGAGATGAAGACCATATTATAAAAAATCAAAACCTTCCTTGACAGTATTAATAGCAGATTAGACCACACAGAAGATAGCATCTCTGATCTGGAACACAAAGCCTCTGACTTAGACAAAGTCACCAAAAGAATTTAAAAATGACAACAACAACAACAAAAAAATGAGGACAACATATGAGAAATACTAAATACTATTAAATACCCATATATCCAAATAATTGGTATTCCACAAGGTGAGGAATCTGATAAGGGCATAGAAAATCTATTCCATGACATACTTGCAGAGAAATTTCCAAACATATAGAAACATTCAGATATCCAGACATGGAAAATACAAAGGAAGTCAAATAGAACCAACATAAGAAGATCCATGCCCAGGCACGTAATAGCCAAATTGATTAATATCAAAGACAAAGACAAAATTCTAAAACTAGAAAGAGAGAAATGTCAAATTACTTATAAAAGTTACACTATTAAGTTGTCAGACCTCTTGAATGAAACAATGCAAGCAAAGAAGGTATAGCTGGGCATACTCAAAATGCTAAAAGACAATTGCTAACTAAGAATACTATACCTGGTGTTGCATATAGGAAGAAAAAAATTCTCAGACAAAAACTGAAAAAATTAGAAACACTTCAAAAAGTACTGAAAGGAGTACTGTATCAGTGGGGGGAAGAGACAAACAAGTGAAAGAACACAAAATAATCAAGAAAATGGCTTATAAAATGGGGAGAGATAAGTACACAAATATCAATAATAACGGTGAATATTAATGGAATCACTTCTCCAATTAAAAATCACAGACTGGCTGAATGGATAAAAAAATAGGAAGCCTCTATATGCTGCTTACAAAAAATGCACCTCATTGATATGGAAAAAACATAGAGAGACTGAAAGTAGAGGGCTGGAGATTTTAATACTACACTTTCCCCTCTGGACAGATCATGTAGACAAAATTTAAGCAAAGAGATACTAGATCTAAACAATACCACAAATCAAAAGACTTGATAATCATCTATAGAATTTTCCGCCCAACCACAAAATATACATTTTTTTCATCATAGAACATTTGAGAAGATCAATCACAGAAAATAGAGTACAAAACAAATTGGGTACAAAACAGTAGGGTCCAAAACAAATCTTTACAAATTTAAAGGTGTAGATACAATACCCAGCATTTTCTCTGACCACAATGGAATTAAACTTCAAGTTTACTGCAGAAATAAGAAGAAATAAACCTCAAAAATATGCAAACAAATGGATACTTAACTTATTCCTGAATGATTTCACAACCACCAAAAAAATTAGGACCGAAATCAAAAGATTCATTGAAACCAATGATAATGAGTACACAAGATTTCATAATCTATGGGAAATAGCAAAAGTAGTCATAAGACACAATCAGTGCCTACAATTTAAAAAGAGAGAGAGAGAGAGAGAGAGAGAGAGAGTTGGCAAATAAACAACCTGATGACACATCTTAGGGAAATGGAAAAACAGCAACAAAAAACTGCCAAAAATACCAAGAGAAAAAAAATAAGGATTCGAGCAGAAATAAACGAAATAGTCTTTTCTGCCTGTTCCCCCCCTATCCGTCCAATGCTGCTCAGGCTGCACTGTACTCGCTCCAAGCTCTGGGCTCCTACTCAGTAAGTGCCACTGTGTTCTCCTTCCAGCAGCTATTATGGTTATCTACTGGGACCTCAACAGCCATGATGAGCTGTTATCCAACATTTAAAAGGTCCAGGAGATCTGATGAGATGTTTTCCAACATTTACAAGGTCTGGGAGATCATGGATGGGCTGTGCCTGGAGGTAGAGGGGAAGATGGTCAGTAGGACAGAGAGTAACATTGATGACTCGCTCATTGGTGGAAATGCTTCCACTGAAGGCCCTGAGGGCTCAGGTACCAAAAGCACAGTAGTCACTGGTGTTGATGTTGTTATGAACCATCACTTGCAGGAAACCAGCTTCACAAAATAAGTCTACAAGATGTACATCAAAGATTACATTAAATCAATCAAAGGCAAACTTGAAGAAAGACTAGAAAGAGTAAAACCTTTTATGACAGAGGCTGCAGAACAAATCAAGCATATTCTTGCTAATTTCAAAAGCCAACAGTCCTTTATTGGTGAAGGCATGAATCCAGATGGCATGGTTGCTCTACTGGACTACCATGGGGATAGTGTGACCCCCATACATGATTTTAAGGATGGATTAGAAATGGAAAAATGTTAACAAATTTGGCAATTACTTTGGATCTATCACCTGTCATCATAACTGACTGCTGCTTGTCATCCACAGAACACCAGGACTAAAGACAAATGGGACTGATGTCATCTTGAGCTCTTCGTTTATTTTGACTGTGATTTATTTGGAGTGGAGTCATTGTTTCTAAGGGGAAAAAAATGTCATGTAGGTTGTCTAAAAATAAAATGCATTTAAACTCATTTGAGAGAATGCCTGTTAGTTTAATACATTTAAACTAAATCCATCATGTAGTGTTTCTGAAGAAGCTAGAGCCTGGTTGTAAACCACTACTAGAAAGCATAAGACTGTCTTCAAATAACGTCTACAGTGAAAACTACTTCTGGGACTGGGGGAAAAAAAACCCCAAGAAACAAAAGTTTTAATTCTGAGTTCCACTAAAGAGAAAGATCATGCCTACAGCTATGCCAACATTTGATGCGGAACATTTTCATCACCTGCAGTGGAAGTAGCTAACTATGGGAAGGATTACCAAAAGAATAAAAAGACACTAAATCAGTTGGAAAAAAAATAAATATAAAATGGAATGTAAAAGAACTATATAGAAAATAAATAAACCAAAAGCTTGTTTTTTGAGATTATTTTCTCAAACAAAATTGACACACTATTAGCTAAATTAATTAAGAAGAGAAAGGAACCAGATAAATCAAATCAGCAATGAAACAAGCAATATTACAACAGACATAGCAGAGATACAAAAGGTCATGAGAGAATACTATGAGTGATTATACACCAACAAAGAAGAAAATGCAACTGAGATGTACAAATTTCTGGACACATATAACTTACCAAGATTGAACCAGGAAGAAACAGACCTGAATAGACCAATAACAAGCAATGAGATTGAATCAGTAATAAATAGTCTCCCACCACAGAAAATTTCAGGCCCTGATGGCTTCACTTCTGAATTTTATAAAGCTTTTAGAATTACCCCCAGTTCTGCTCAAACTCTTCGTAAATATCCAAGAGGAAGGAACCTTCCCAAATTCATTTTATGAAGCCTCCATCACGTTTATCCTCAAAACAGTAAAGGACATCACACACACACACACACACACACACACTACAGACCAATATCCCTGATGAATACAGATGCAAAAATTCTCAACCAGATACAAGCAAATCATATCAAACAACACATTAAAAAGATTATACACCATGACCAGACGGGCTTTGTTCTACGGATGCAAGAGTGGTCCCACACATGCAAAACAATAAATGCAATGCATCATATTGACAGAAGAAAAGATAAAAACCATATGATCATATCAATAGATGCAGAAAAAAATTGATAAAATGCAACATGACTTTGTGATTAAGACTCTCAGCAAAATTGGCATAGAAGGGACATTCCTCAACATAATAAAAGCCATCATGACAAACGCATAGCTAACTTCTTAAAGAATAAGGAAAAGCTTTCAGCTTTTCCACTGAAAACTGAGACAAGACAAGGCTGCTCACTTTTTCCATTTCTTTTCACCATAGTACTGGAAGTCCTAGCCAATGCAATTAGAAAAGAGACTAAAATGAAAGGCATTCAAATAGGAAAAGAAGTGAAGTTATCTCTATTTTCAGATAATAAGTACAGAAAATCCAAAAATATCCACATACATACACACACACACACACACACACACACACACACACCTATAAGAGAGACACAACATTAATACAATAAATTGGCAGGATATAAAATCAGCATACAAACATCTATAGCAATTTTATATACCAACAATGAACAAGCTGAGGTAGAACTGAAAAAAAAATATCTTATTTACAATAGCCACAAAAAAATATAAGATACTTAGGAATAAACCTAACCAAAGACATCAAAGACTTCTATAAGAAAAGCTATGAAAAACTGAAAAAAGATGTTGAAAATGATACGAAAATGTAGAAAGACATCCCATGTTCTTGGATTGGAAAAATTAATGTAATCGAGATGTCAATCCTACTCAAATTAATCTACAAATTCAATGCCATTTTGATCGAATTACCAAAGATATTTCTCACGGAGATAGAAACAATCATACAATTTGTGTTGAATCTTGAAAGTTCCTACATCAATAAAGAAGTACTAAGCAAAAAGAATAAAGGAAACAGCACCCCACTCCCTGATATCAAAATATATTACAAAGTTGTATTATCTAAATACCATAAATTGGCAGAATAACAGGTAGGTGTACAGATGGAACAGAATTGAGAACACAGAAATAAACCCCAAAACATACAGACAATTGACTTTCAACAAAGGTCAGTGAGGAAAAGAAAAATGTCTTCAGCAAATAATGCTGGAAAAACTGGATATCCACTTACAGAAAAATGAAACTGGACTCCTATCTGCCACCACTAACAAAAATTAACCAAATTAACCATTAACAAAAAGTGGGCAATGGCTACTGACCTTGAGCTGTGAAATATTGTTTTCAGGGACTAAAAATGAAGATCTGCTGCTGAGACTCTCCCTCCAGATTCATCTCTAGTGGGTAGGGCTACCTCTGTATCCTTCTCATCTCTCTGTCTCTCTCTGTCTTTTAATTTTAAAAAATTTTTTCAAGGTAAAGTATTCTCTGACCTCTCAAGCCCCTTCTTTACTGTGCTAATTTGTGCCTTTCCCCGTTGCATTTAGGAGGTGCACAAACCCAGGCCCATCCTGAAATGGCTACTGAACTTGAGCTGTGAAATACTGCTTTCACACAGCACACATGCATGCCACACAGTTTTCATTTTGGTTTTCAAATTTGAAATATAAAACTTTTTATTGTCTTTTATTTTATTTTTTCTTTTATTTACTTTTTTTTCTCTTTTCCTCTTCTCTAATTCCTAGTGAATAATATCCAAACATCTGAATGCAAATAGAGTCAGAATAATCCTCAATTCCCATCGACTCTGTCACACAAAGAGTGAAAAATGGAATGGAAGATAGATTGCAGATCACTTTCTCCTGCATGCTTGTGAACACTCAGATGGAACTTCAAGAATTAGGAAGAAATGCACAATCCATCAAATGGCCAGAAACCTCCGCAGGGTCACAAGAAATATGAAAAATCAAGAACATACTTCTCCTTCAAGGGAAAGGAATAACCACTCTTCATCCTCAGACAGTACAATGAAACTCATGGAAATGTCAGGTAAAGAATTTAGAATATTCTTAGTGATAAAGCTAACAGAGATGCAAAAGAAGGGAGGCAATGAACTGCAGAAGAGGCAGGGGAAAGGAGCTGATGAGTTCCTGGAGGTGAAGAAATTCTTACAGGATCTGAAAGAGAAAATATACACCACACACACACACACACACACACACACACACACACACAAAACAATCAAATGGAAATGTTAGAGATGAAGGCTAAAATAAGGGAAGTCAAAACTTCCCTTAAACATATTGAAAGTAGACTAGATCATACAGAAAATCAAATCTCAAATGTAGAAGACAGAATTGCTGGCCTAGAAAAATCCACCATAAAGCCTGAAATTATTGCTCCCCAAAATGAGAATAATATACGAGAAATATTAGATACCGTCAAACATCCAAACATCTGGATAATTGGTATCTCAGAATGCAAAGAGACTAATAAGGGCATTGATAACCTACTCCATGAAATCCTGGAAGTAAACTTTCCAAATCTATAGAGTCATTCAAAGATCCAGTCCCAAGAAATATGAAGGACCCCAAATAGAATTGACTCAAGAAGATCTTCTCCAAGACACATTATAGCCAGATTGATTAAAAACACAAAGACAAGATACAAAGATTGGCAAGAGAGAAATATCAAGTTACATACAAATGATTTCCCATCAGGCTCACAGCAGACCTCTTATTGGAAACAATGTGAGCAAAGAAAGAATTGGAAAACATATTCAAAGTGTTAAGGGAAAAACAATTTCAACCAAGAACCGGGCAAGATTATCCTTCATGTGAGAAGAAATGACAAGGACGTTCTCAGATAAACAAAACCTGAAAGAATTTACCAACATAAGACCAGCTCTCCAAGAAATTCTGAAGGGAGTGCTATATCAAGAAAACTAAATACAGACATACAGAAATAAGAGTTCAAAAACAACTAAAAAAATGGCCAACGTAATGGTCAGGACAAGTCTGGAGTTGAATATTATGTCCCAGAAGTTAATCGGGAAGATCAGAACACAACAAAAGATAGATTAAGTACATGAGACTGGACTGGTGAAATAGAATATAGAATCCTATGACCTTCAACTAAAACATTACTGTTTTTCTTCTAGGCTTTTTTTTTTCCCAGAATTTTTGTCCTGTCTCGAGCTGCCAATAGGTTCATTTACCTACTATTTGAACAGAATCCTAACCTGTTTCCTGGCTTTAGGCTTTATGCAAAGCTTTTTTAGCATTTTTAAAAGTTTTTATTTATTAAAGTTGAAACTGCTTTTCTTGAAATTAAAATATGTATTAAAAATGCCTATTTAATGACCACAGTAAACTATATAGCATCAGTTAGGTGCTACTTTATTGTATATTCATTCTACTCAGAGTTTCATGCCTAAAGTAAGAAATGTATTCACAGATATGTATATATCAGTTGAACTTGCTATTGAAAGTAGCTAGATCATTTAAGATATTTTGTGAATCAATAAAAT